CCTTCAGGCGTGGAACCTAGACTTGTAATTCTGTCCCATTTGAATCACAGGAACCATACTGCTGACAGTGTGTGTCCAACACTCTACTACACTTGCACAAGACCAGGAAAATAACTGAAGGTGGAATGTTAACATCTTAATGTGTAAAAAATGTAAAAGCTAATATTTTTATGGATAAACTACAGATAAAATTCATTTTCTGTCACATTTTGTGGTTTTCAACATTTATGAGATAATATGAACCCAAAATATGTAAATAAAGAGTGATCATAATTGATTGTAATATATTCTTTTCCTTTATCTCTACACTGTGCATAAATTAGATACTAGTGTATTTTCAATTAAAAACATGCAGAGTTCCTTTTAGTGCAGGTATTTTTAGCTTCCTATTATCCGAAGGCAAAACAAATGCATAAAAAGCAAATTCAGTACATTTCTTTAATATTTATACGACCATCCTTAGCTGAAATCACTGCCTGAAGCAATGATGAATGTTTTTCTTCAAGTTTTCGGAGATAACACAGGCCTACGATGGTTTTATTGTCTTGAAAATTGTACATGTTATACAATTATTCCTCTATGCCGACCCCTAAAATGATATCCATTTTTCTCCATCACGTACAGATTTTTCACAAAACGTCATGTATACTTTTTACATAAGTGAGTCATTTTCATTGAAATTGGGTGACCTTTTGTTATGCTTAAAATGTTGACAACCACTGGATATAGATTGCTTTAGACCAATCGCGACGTGAGTCTTATCATTGTTCTAGAGCCCAAATATAACAAACGTAACAACAAAAAGTTTTCATTGCTGTAAACGAAATAATAATTTGATCTAAGTAAGAGTTTTTTTCTTCCCGATTTGTAACAAATTCGAAATCTGCGTAGCTGAATTATGGAAAATCCGTTATTAAAACCAAAGCAACTTTTATGAAGTTTAAATTCGCATGCCCGTGTAATCAGTGGGAATTGAACTCCAGGTGTCTTGAAGTACTGCCCAAAGATCTTATTTTGATTTTGTCTCCTTTTGCTGTTTTTCTTGAAGAGCAAGATAGTCCAGCACACTATTAACACGTTGTTTTTCTGCTTGGGATCGTTATCATGTTGGAAAATGAAATTTCTTCCATTAAACGATATCCAGTATGATGAGAAAGTATTTGCTTATGTCGGGCAGAATTTAAGACTCCATCAATACGGATATCACCAACTCTAGTAGTTTTAAACAATATCATACTTGGATTTTCCCTCCACCATGCTTAACAGGAGGCTGCTGATAATTTTCCTTTGATCTGTCACCACTCCTGCAACGAACGTATACAGGTGTATGTTGGTTCCAAAACCCTCAAACTTTGACTCAACAGACAAAAATACTCTTTTCTTATACAATTTGTCCAGTGTTTTGCAAACTTAAGCCTCTTCTGTTTGTTGCCTTTCTCGAACAAAGGTTTTCTTGCGGCAATGTACCCAATCAGCCCTTCTTTATGCAATATGCGTGACATTGTATATGGTCGACCTTAATACCAGTAGTTTCTTGAAGTTCTGCAGCAAGACAGCTGCTAGATTTACATCTGTCTCTGAGTGAAGTAAGCCTAAGGTACATCTGATCTGGTAAGCTTACGTGGTCTTTTATAACAGTTCTTGTCATCAGTGGTACCAGTTACGTTGTACCTTTTGATTATTTTTTGAGGTAGTTTTTTAAACTTACGTTTTTGCACAAAATTCCTGCTAATGTATAAAACTTTTAGTTTTATGCAATATCTTACTTCATCATAAACTGTTCACCATATTTCATACTTGAAGTAAAACAGTCACGTCAGAGTTCCAGACCATAGAAAATTTTGTGCTTTTCAGAAAAGCAAATAATAACTTAACAATTACTTAGAATTTTTTATGATAGAAAATTCAAGAATGTGTGAAATGCTATTTGATATTATACCTTAGTATAACAGCCAGACCATTACATCTAAAAGCTACATGCTCCAGTTTTTAAAAACTATTGTCAGTTCTGACATTCTTACATCTTTTTTTTTTTAATTCGTTTAAATCAAATACACGATTTAGAACATATGTAAATAAACTATGCGTTTCGATTAGCATTACTACTATAGTTCATACTGAACACCTTTTGCTTAGAAGACTAGATGGTGGTCCCTTACAGTTTTTAAAATTACTTTAAATCTTCATGTGCAGTTGCTTATAACATTGGAACTAGGTATATCACTTAGTGAATTAATGCAATAAGTCCTAGAAAAAGTTGAAACTCGTGTATGTATATATATATATATAAACAAAAATATTTATCACAGTTTCTGAAATCCCTTCCAGTGTAATGTTAAGATTGACAATTCTCAGATACAAATATGTGTAAAAGGCAAAATAATGATAAATTTAAAGTCAGGTTTAACTGGTTAAAATATGATGTATTACAGTACTAATGTTTTTCCTAATTCACGTTTTGAAATGCCAAAAAGTAAAGCATTCCAAAATATATACTCATGAAAGAAATCTAATGATAATTTATTTGTTTTAGGACTTTCAAACAAAGCTACAATGGGCTATTTGTGCAAAATTGTCTCTGATTTTGGACTGATAAATTAGAGAGAAGGCAGCTAGTTAACACCACCAACAACCAATTCTAAAGATACTCTTATCTGAATGACTAGTGGGATTTGGACATCACTTTTAGTGCACTCAAAGCCTACTTACCACAAACCTTGGATTCACATAGCAAGCATAGTAATCTCTGGACCAAAAATGAAATGATTTAATTATATATACATGTTTTTCAATGATGGATGCTAACAAAACTTACTAACTGACATTTGCACTGATAAATACACATTTTTATCACCGGGATACTAACCTAGAAACTAACCAATACACAATATTTCACCCTACTCATAAATTCAAACATTTCACGTTTTTCTCTGAATTATTGTTTTATATTTTTTAGCAAACTTAAAAAAAGACAAGTAACTTTGTACACTTTAAGAATGTGGTGATATTGGTACTGGATATTTTCATAGCTACAGTATAGTACAAATCAATCTTTTACAAAGAATACAAGACAATGTTTTTTAAATTATTGTGATTTGGTAATCCCACTGTTTCTTTACATTACATACCACACAGAGTTCAATTCCAAATCATGTATAGCTTACATTTTCTACCACTACGTGCACGTTATTTGAAAAAAAACAAACCCAACAAGGAATTCGGCATTGAGGAAAAATTTCTCCAACCACTGTTAGTCCACATAAATCCAAAGTATCATGATTCCATCTAATAAACTCTGTAGGAAAAATGAAGATAATATAGACACAACCATTTTAGAATCATAGTTTCTTTGGACTTTAGGTTTAAGGAATTGTGTTATCACAATGTCTAAAGCCAACGATATCAGGTGAAAAAGTTAAGAGAGTATCAACTGAAAATATAGCAGTGTTCTATTAGAATCTATATACAGTGTACTAAATGGAGACATCTAGGTTTAATTTCCAATTTGAATGTTAAAAACTAACAAGAATTAAGAATGTAAACAAACTGATAGACACTACCTAGCTGTTATCTTATGAGCTTGTAAACTTAGGGAATTCTGTTTGTTTATAATAGTTAATAAATAATTCAGCCAAATGTTTCATCTATTTCCATGGAATCATTTCTTTCAATTAAAATACTTATTCAAAATATACCAGTGTCTCTTCACTAGCTAGAATTGAAAATAACCAGAATAACATCGAAAATAACCAGAATAACATCACAAACTCTTATTACAATTTTGTCATTTAGTAATGGAACCTATTTATCTGATTACTTGGAAGCAAAATAATGGTCTGACTAAAACACAATCAATGATTTTACTTTAAATATCAGATGTATACAGAATATTAATATAGCTAAAAACAAGATATACAATTGAACAATATTTCATATAAGCATTCATTCTGGCTGAGCTTTCAACCACAACTGTTTTTCTTTTCATCCATAGATGCAACTTAATTTAACAAGTGTACCTATGTAAGGAATATATATAAAAAAAAAAGACAAATTCAACCTCTGGAAGCAAACAAAGACCATTAATTTGAAACAGCGAGCACAGGAAAATAACTATCTATTTTTCACGTATGCTTAATATTTCAGAATTTTTTTTATTGTTTGTGTATGGCAAAGCTAATAAAGCTATCTGTTGCCATTCCTAACTTTGAAAATGTTTTGATAGTTATTAAAAAACTAGCAGAAACACTGCTCTATGGGAGGCTGTTTGTGCTAGTAATTACTAATCATAGTATTCATACCTCATTGAAAAAACATTTTCTAAAAAAGGATTTATTTCTGGGAAGTACCGCACAAGAAAAGTGTTCTGATTGTGCTCTTTAGTCACATGCAACTCATTGCATCAAAATGATTCAATGTACAGAACTCAAAATTTTCATAATTTTTTACTGATATAAACTGTAATGTTTTTATATATTAAAAGTGGTACCGTTTATTGAAAAAATAACAGTTTAAGAACTCCAGTTTCTCAGTACTACATTTAAAAATTACATTAATAAAGATATATAATTAAACCATCACATACAGTTCTAGAGAAAGTCTTGTTCTTGTTGTGAGGAGAGTACTTTTATTTAAAATTGTGTTCTATTATAAAGAAATGGTTGTTGCACATACCACAGTTATTTTTCTAATCGTCTGAATCTTGAATACCCAAAGTGTAAAATTTTCTATGGATTTTTTGTTTGTGGTGCCATTCAACAGATGTTGTGGGAGTTTTAGTTACATACATAGAAACTGACATACATGCTACATCCATTAGAGTAAGATAATTTCTTGAAATAGTAGCAACAAGTTCACTGCTCATCATCTTCAGCACACTGGAACTCATTGCTGAATATATATTTGATGGTTGAATTGATGATAAAAGCAAAATAAGATAATGAAAAAGTTCTCAACAAATTACTTTGTTACAGTGGAAATTTCTAGAAGGTCCTTAAAAGAAATCACAATAAAAGGCTGTTATATTTATTCATGAGTAGACTAAAAACTCCAGTTTATTCCATGGTCACATTCATATCTGCTGAAGTGAAACTTTCAGTACTGAGAATAAGCTGACATATCTCTGTAAAAAACTTACTTTAACATGCCCGGCACATAATTTTTAATTAGAAAGGCAATATTTTAACATTATAAATAAAACAGTTTCTTCTTGCATCTGATATGCCTATGTCTTATTTTGAAAATGAAACAATCAAATTGTTTAAAATCAATATTTTAAAACTATATGAAGTGCTAATCCTTTGGTGTTATTTATTTTCAAAACGAATTGCATATCATGCTAATTTGTTTTCATCATTAGAAAAGTCGATCTGTTGCGCTAAAATAGCTTCTCAACATTATATATGTTACTGCTTGTAAAAACATTACATTTTATGTTCTGAAACCTTTAAAGTTCCCATCCTGAGAAATTCAGTCACTATCGCTAGCACTTCCAAAGATCTCTTCTTCATCACGACGTTTTTTGGCTTCCTCTTCCTCTTCAACTTCACTTTCACTAGAAGACTTGTCACTTTCACTGCTACTACTACTACTGCTACTGCTGCTGCTTGAACTGCTACTACTACTGGGCTTAGCTTTGGCATCATTCTCTTCCTCACTTTCCTCATTCTCCTTTTGTTTCTCTTCTTCTTCTTCCTCATCTTCACTCTCATGTTTCTGCTCCTCCTCAATTTTCTCAACTTCATCTTCCTCCTGCTCTTCATGTTCACTCTGATCTTTCTCTTCACCTGAAAAAATAAAGGGAAAGTCCATAAATATCATATTTAACTTATAATTAACATACTTATTGAAAAGTTCATCACAATTATAAGAGCAAAATTTAAACAACAAATAATCCATTGAAAACATTAATAACCAAATAAAAACAATACACCAAACAACAGCAATGGTTGTGGTAATTTCCGATATTCATCCTAAACCTACCCTTACATCTACAATAAGTAACTAATTACACACCTCAGAAAACTAAAAACTTCCTTTTATAAATGTGAAATAAAGCCTTTTCTTAAATAAGAAGCAAGTTTTGCTGGTTAAATAAAAAAAAGTGTTAAAAAATTATTTCATCTTTTATGAAATGTTTTATATAATAAGGAATAAATCTATTTAAAAGTCTTATATTTATTACCTTCCTCCTCCTCCTGCTCCTGAACTTCCTCTTCAACCTCCTCTTCTTCTTGGGGAGGTTCTAACTGTGTCATTCTTATCTCCTATTAAAAGAAAAAAACTCATGTTGGCAGTTACGTGTAATAAACAACACTGATACCAGTCTAATTTCTAGTGTGTTGTGGTTGATTGTGTACTTTGTTCAGTCTCTTTCTGATAAGCCTCTTGAAGTTTTGAAATAAATTTAAACTCCAAACATCACTAGGTGTTGCAAGTACTCTTGGAAATATTTAAACATATTTAAAATAAAGATATGAAACATAAAATACAAATAATTCCAAAACTTTTAAATAACAAAAAATGGGTAATTTTTTAAATTATTAAGTTTCTTTACTTAAATATAATGCCTGATTCAAATAATAAAAACAAAAATTAAATTGTAACCATGTGCTTAAATGAGATTTTATTAATGTTTATCAAAGGCTAAATATATTATTAAAGAGTTATCACCATTTTAACATTAAACAATGTAATAATCAAATACTGTTTATGAATAGTAATGCATAAAAAAAATGCATTAAAAAAAGCAAATTAACTTAATGATTTGATTGTATGCTATTTGCAAGTATATAATTCCATACCACAGTAAAATTTTGCTTAAGATCGTGAAAAATTAAATATGACTTGGTCTCAAGATATTGAATTTTGCTAGACCTATACATGCAACATATTAGGTAGATTGTTGAGTTTTTCCAGTACGCCATAAAATTTTTTCTTAAGCAAACCTCATAATTTACCTGAGTCTTCATCTCTGTTTCATTGAGTGGACGGTGTCGTACAACCAACCTTGACTTGCTAGGCTGAGTACCAGGCTTGAGTCTTCTTTTACTTAGACGAACCCTGTAAAGTATATTCAAGTGAATCAATTCTCAGTTCATAGAAATGTATCACATTTACTTGATATCTTTCTTAAGTTAAATTTTCAAAAACATAAGTGAAAAAAAAAATCAAGTATATCTCTTACAGAAATTATATATTTAAAGAGACATAGACTTGAATATAGATTTTCAAATAATGTTCACTGGAGAAAAATATATGGCTGTGATATCCATGAAAACTAATGTGTTACAGATAACTTATACTATAAGTATCCACAGTATGTATCAGAATCAGGAAGTGTTTTACAAAAGAACAAAATGAACTTGGATGGCAAAGGAAAAGACTTGAATAAAACTGAACAAGTGAATTTGCTGGGCTCTTCAACAAACTGGTTACTGGAACTGAAGCAAGGGGGATATCTACATCAGAAAAGAATGCAGCAAAAACTCTGATAAGTCATACTGTTAAGTTAGATGCAATGATATCATACATGATATCATACAAACTTAGATTATCTGCATCAACAATTATGCTACTGTATATATTCATAAATTTCCAGATCATACCAATTCACAAAAAGTTTGTACTACCCCCTCAACTTGAGTATGATCCATTCTCAAAGGTAATGATGATACAGAAATAGGGTTAAACAAGTATAAACTTTCACAGTGGTTTAGCAAAGGTTTATGACCTTACACATCCCATTCAAGAGAACACCAACTAAGTGAATAACACCTGGACAAAAATTTAACTAAATAAAGATATATTCTTTACTAATTAAGGAAGGATGAAATATCACAGTTTTTTTCAACTGTAACAACCTCCCCCCTTTCCTTATCTCTAGGCCTTCCTGAACCCAAACCTCAAAACAAAACATTGAAGTAAACAAACTACAAGCACAATACTGTAATATTTACATATACACAACAAAAGCAAACCTTATTACGCATACAGGTTCTAGTGATCAGTGAAACAAAATTAAATTACTAAAATATATGAAAACAACTAAAACTGTATATCAAATCAAAATGGAAATTAAAATAAGAGATAAAATTGAAAAACCTATTACAGAATTAATCATAATAAAAACAGCAGAAAATATGAAACCACTGAACAAAATGAAAAGAAACGATACAAGATCAACTCAAAATAAAAAAAAAGAATATATTAACAGTCAGTCATTCTTCCAATAAAAATGTAAAATGAAAAACACAAAAATAATTAAATGATATACAAGTAAGAAATGAGCATAGCTTATAAGATACTAGCAGAAAGACCACCCTACAGACAGCTGTTTGGTCAGGATCTTGGTGAGCAATTTTATGTGTTTCAGTATTTCGAGTTTGTTCCTGGCTTCTTCTCACTGGGTCTTGCCTCATAACTTGGTGAACAAGCCTATCTGTTTCTTTCTGTAACTTGCATTGTGACGTTTCATTTACTTTCTCCATCGTAAGTCACTTTTCCATTTGGAAATTTTTGGCATCATGATTTTTGATCAATTTATACCCTTATTGAAGTAAAAAATACACGTGTAACTTACGAAGATCAAGTTACTACAAAATTCCTGGAAATTTGTATGCAATGAACTCTGCATGATGGACTTGTGGTTACTTGTGTCAGAGAACAATTCAATTTGTAACCTACACTTGGATTCTCTGGAAGAAAAAGTTACTTTTATTCTGAAATATCACAATGATTCTCCGCTAGGAAGACTCACTTTCAAATTCTGCATTAAACTCACTTTACCACAATTTTAGACATTTTATTAAAAACATAATTTCACTGATAATATTAAATGTACATTATTAAATAGGAAAGAAGTAACATTTTTCCATTAAAGAAGCAATTTAGGAAAAAATCCTATAAAATTCCTATTATTTTTATAAGTTTAGCAAGGGTCTATTTTTAAAACATTTTTCATTTTGGTGCAATATAAAGCTGTTATTGACTTATTTCTTTACAAAAGTGGACACGTGCAGTAAATAAACTTTTTCATAAAAGACCCAATTGTAAAGAAACTTTGTTAGAATTTCTCCTTATAATGTTGAAAAATCGTGCAAAGTTTCATCCAAGTTGGACTTAAACTGTAGGAGGAATTCTGTGGAAAGACGGACCTTATCCTCTTATATACAGATTAATTCACAATAATCAAAACTGTGTACACAATAAAAAAAAAAACAGTATAATTTAAGATGGCTCAAAATGAAATAAAACCAATATAAACTAAGTGAAAAGCTGAGCAAAACACAGTATTATATAAAAGTAGAGAATTAAATACAGTATAAAATCAAATCCATTGCAGAAACCTGAAATAAATAAAACAGCATAAAAAATTACACACAATAAAACAGAACTGATTCAGAAAATAAACAAAGCAATGCAAAACTGAAACACAAACATGACACTGGTCAAAATATAAAATGCAAGAGAAATTAAGAAAATACTATGCAGAGAAATGGCTAAATTCAAACATTGAACTAGATGTAAAAATTAAAATGCTATTAATTAATTAACATTAATGAAAGAATAGTGTACTTCACTTACAGAACACACAAACACTACTTGTTAGATTCAAGTACTGTAAATAAATAAAAAGGTTTGTTGAGCAGCGTAACATCATTATGACCTTGTATAAGCAGAACGTTTCATAATTCTTCCTAAAAACATCTTGTGATGAATGAAAATCCTCTAAGCAGCTATAAAACATTTACATTCAGCCTCTAGAGAGCAGTGGGGTTCTGGAGACCCTATTTGCTCTCTAAACATTTCTCTTTTAATTTCACCCTGATCCACCATTTTTGTTTAGCATACTCAACAGGGCACCAGTGTCATTTCAAGATGTCAACATCTATTGGTGTTGGGCCTAAAATGGTAGATGAAGCCAAAGTAGTAGTAGATACTTCCTCTGTTTTGCACTCATCCAACACCATGAGTTTTGCTAAATGCTGCACAACCTGGATGAGTAATGTCACTAGGCTAGGCACCAGGAAGGTTTTTTTTTTTATTAGAGTTAGAAGCATCAGGAGTAGATCCTCATATTTATCCAACAGGTAGTCTTCCAAGTTAAAAAGTTACGAGTTCAAGTTTTCTTTCTGGTCATAATGTAGGTACTAGATAACTACATTTTAGAGTTTTGGCCTTATACAGAAAACCTCATGATTACTAACTTATCAAAAGTCCAGTTAACAATGTAGGGTTGAAGGTCACAGCCATTTAGGCCATGTCTCAATCTTACCTAGGTAGAAGCTGTTAAGTAGGAAGTACCACATGTGCCGCACCTTACAGCAGGAATGACAATTCCATAGTCACAAAATAGTCCATCACAAACATTAATGAAAACAATGAGTTTTTCACTTAGTGTGGTGTAGATTATCCTAGCAACCTTTCATTTCTTTATCAGTGTAAAAGCACGTATTACGAATATTTTGAACTACAAAAGATACCATGTTTCACTTTCAATGCAGTATATGCTGATAACTGTGGCCTTTAACAAGTACATACACATCTCAGTATCCTATGCAAGTTCTTCATTTGCCATAAAATTGTACACTTTAAGTGTGTGTAATTAATTAAGTATAAAAAAGCAGTCTGTACACAATGTATATATTAACATCAGAGATGAAAGTGTCCCTTTCCTAAAAATCCTGAAAATAATGGAAGCCAAG